TACTTAAGCTACAAGAAGTTAGCTTAGCTTGAGAGAAGTCCTGAAGTTTAATGTCGATTTTAATTAGTTGTCAGGTTTAAATCGAAATGTCAACAACAAAATTCTTTAAAATACAGAATCAGTAACTTATATCCTTAAATATATATATATATATATATCAAATCACATGAACAAGTTGTAAGGAAAATTAGAAAACAAAGCAATGCCCTATACAGTAGTTCTGAACATTGTTTGGACTAATACCACAACACAAAACGTTAATAATTTGAGGTAATATTTTGAGCCCAGGACAGTGGTGGACACATCCAAGATCATTGGAGGAGCAAAGGTTTAAATGTCATGACAACAGGAAAATAACATTGGGCAGTTTAATACAAGTAACACTGTATGTTGTAAGTATTACATTTGATTTGTATTTTTTAAAGCTAAATAAAAAAATTATTTATTGTAGACCAAAACTTTTGGTACAAATGCAGCTCTTACACCCTCTATTGTCTGCCACTGGTTTAGGATAAAAACTCACTTTTTTCTGGATGAATACTGTGTACTTCTTGAAACTCAGTTTATCAATTTCCTTTTAGAAGGAATTTAACAAAATTTGAAATGTATTCCAACATATCTGGAAATGCAATAAAAATTTCAAAAAAAGGACCTTCAATGTTTGTACAATTTCATTTTTACAGAACTTGATCAATAACAATGAATGCATGCAATGCTCAGTCTTCATATAATTCTGGCTTTAAAGGACTACTTTTGCCTGTTTCTACAGTATATGATGTTTTGACTTTTATACCAAGATCGTCATCAGGTTGATCTGAAGCCAAAACTCTACCATGTCTACACTGCTTAAAATACATTTTAAAGAACAGTGCTCAATTTTATCAGTCATTTAAGACTAATTACAGCATGGAGGTCACTTTTTAATCCAAGTATTATTCATCAAGTAATTTATAAATTATTAAGTTATTATACTCTGCATATAATATGTACATAAACTCTTCTGTTTAACAAAATATCTAAAGTGTTATAAGCCATTATATGCAAGTGAGTCAAAGAGATCTAAATTTATGTAACTTTCTGTATTACTGGCATGAAACAAAAATAATCCAAATTTCTAAAATAGCTTCCAGTTTTTTAAAAAAGAACAATAACAGCCAAGCACACTGAAAACTCTTAACCAACATGTTTTATGAAATTATAAAAACATTTAATAACAAACAAAAACTGTATAATAAAAAAAAAGTCTCTAAGTATCAAAATAGAAAGAACATTTATTTTGTCTAAATAACAACATAAATACTCACACGTAATTATCCCATGAACCAACAACAATTGTTTTCCCATCTTCCATTAAATAACATGAAGAAAGAGCCTGAGTGATAAAAATAATATTTCATTTTCACAACGTGAAGTGATTGAGCTAAAATGAAAACGAATCACTTCATGTTATATGCCAAAAATAAATAAATAAAACACATTATAAACAGACATTGTTATTAAACTCTTAATGATTTCAACATTCCATTCTTAATATGTGCTTAAAACAAGAAAAGTAAATTTTTGTGTAAGTTAATCTCATGAATTATCAGACTGGCTATGCTTATAAAACCACAGCATTGATGAGAATGCTATTAAAAACATTTGCAAGCTACATAAGTTGTACTATCAGTACATAACAATGACTCTGAAAATACTCTTAACACTTCAATCTTAACAGGCCCAAAAGTTATTCCAGCATTATATTATGTAAAAAATGAAATCCAAGATAAGATCAGAATTATAATACTCATGAGAGTTAGGTCTTCATTTTCATCCAAGATGGACTGCATTTGAGATTAATCATCAAACTTCTATCCATTTCCATCATAAATAATAAAATGTCATAGTTTCTTCTTGAAGTTCACTAAATATAACGAAAGAAACTCACCATATGAGAAATGTTGATACTACGCAGTTGTCTTTTCTCCTCTAAAGAGTACATCTTTAGTAGGCTGTCTAGACAAATTAATCTAATATTACTGGATGCAGAATGGAGATCTTTCATATTAATTTTAGGAATGATACATTACACTGGATTTTAAGATTTTATTGATGACACCTGCCTGAAGTGTATAAGTAGACAGCATATGAGTCTCATATTGAGTTCTCAGAAAAGAGAATGAAACATCATCCACTTCTACACTCCAGGAAGTTGTATTCCATGAAAACCTGAAATGGTGACATTTCTATTAAAAACTATGTGCACTAATGGCACATAAAAAATACACAGTTTTAGGAAGAATTACGGTGACATTGTAATAAGCAATAATAATATATTAAACATATTAAAAAGGCTTGAAGAAATATCACATGATAAATAAATAAAAAAATAATGAAAATAACTATGTGTAATGCTACTTAACTGTCTTCAGTGTTGTCAGTAATAGATATGAATGCATTGTTTCACCTAACTTCTTCCAGGGCCAATTATTACAGGAATACCTTATAGTAATCACTGAACACAAAGCTTAATACTATATTTAGCTACATCACTCTACCCATGCTTATGTTTTAGGATACTATTTATAAAAATGACAAATCTGTTTAAATTTTAACTGTCAATTACTAATACCCTTCAATACTTTTTAAACATAAAACAACTTTAACAAATTCTACTCCTTTTACACTTAGAGTAAACTAAATTCAAGCAAAACATATGAGTGAGAACATTTAGGCAGCATGTCCAACCAAATATGGTGTTAATGTGTGTGATGTGATACACAATGTTTTCACTCCTTAAGTACCAATAAATATGTTAAAAACAGAACATAACATCATTTCCTGTTCATATGAATGCTCTCTATATTAAATCATCCATGGGTAAAAGTGTCCAATGGTAATTTTGACTGATAAATCTATTGGCCATGGGTTTTGGGGATAAAGTGGCCCCCCCAAAAGCTGTGGGATTGCACATGATCTCAGATGCATTCTGAACCATTTTGGACAATTTCCAGAAGGAAAGTTTAACTTTGTAGAAAAAAAATCACTTGTAACTTATCATGTTCCCATACAGACAAATCTGATAATCACAACAGGCTAGTTACATTTTTCAAATGTCAATACTTAATCCTGTTACATGTATACCTAATTAATTTCTTAAAACCTCAGTCGTACATAAAAAAAATATCAATGAATTAACCAGATATGACTCTTTTCTTGTAAAAAGAAGAAGGAATCCTCAGTAGCTATGGCACTTCAAATTATTTTAGACAGGATTAGAGTAAATTAATCTATGAGATTTTTTTTCCTTTTTTATTAGCTATATTTTTGTGCACCAGCAATACATGATTCAATTTTATTACTCATCACGTTCTCTACCAGCCTATCCTCAAATTGAAATTGTTTTAGGCAGGAATAGAATAAATTAATCTAGGAGACCTTAGGCATGGTTAAATACATCAGTAGAAAGGGTTTGACCTCCTGAGTCCTAAACTGTAATAAGATTAGACCTCAAATCAGTCAAAAGATGACAAAAAACTCAGAGCCATGACTACTAAAAATGGTTGGAAGTTCAGACTAATAAAGATTAGAAGAGTATGGGCAATAAAATGCAAAATGTGTTAATTTCACATTGCACTTAAATTTTGCTTTGTAATAATGCCTGGGAAAGGCCATTTGGACAGATTTCAGTCTACAGATGGAGAATTTTCACCCATGTTCATCTTAACTCCCTCACTACTAGCTCACTAGATTCAACAGAGTTCCCCAAGTTATCATACTATAATTTGCAAAATATTTTGTATATCTTCACAAGTCTTTTGTACACAGAAAATCAGAAATTATAATGAAGTTTTCTTACTAAAAATTTCTACATGAATATATGGAGTTAAAGTGTCGACTGCTCCGAGTGTATAGGGATTTTCATGTTAAGATTAAAAATACTTTTCTTCATCTGAAAAATTTCAAATTTCCCTTAATTAATCTCTAAAACCTTTTAACTAAATTTCAAATATTTTTTTTAGTAAAACTTTATATTTTATCTGTTATTTTCTGTACCTTAACTTTATATGCATTTGGTCAATTTGACCAACCTCGTAACCACCATAAAAAAATATGAAATAAATCTAAATTACCCTTATTTTCTTTCTAGAATGACTGCAAATTGTAACAGAAAACTAAGATTGTTTATCCTAAGCAGCTTAAAGTGTGTAGCAGTATACATCTGTTTCTACTTAAGTTTTATTGTTTGATTGCCCTTTAAACTGTGTCTAACAAATAATCCTCCCAGATAAGTTATAAATCACTCTGCAAACGTGTAGCTCACATTACCGTATCGAATTATATAATACAGAGCTACTCGCAAATTGTTCACTAACATACCTTGTTAAAAAATTTTATTATTTTCTTTGTCTTACCTAATTTAACCTAATAAGCTTTTAATTTTACATTTTAATTACTTTTATAATATTAAATAAAGAATACACATGAAAAACAAGAAATATAGTACTTACATGGGTTTTTTTTGCTGTCGACTGTCTATGAAACTTAAGCCTACTTTTTCATACTAATGGTACAACTACAATAAATAATTTTTTATTTAGTTAAATAATGCACCTAAGAACACAGAATAATAACATATAAAAAAGCAGACAATATCCTATTACTATCATAATTGTTCTGGCTTCATAACTATGCGATAAGAACTGTTAAAAATTTCAGCTAAGCTCATCAATATGTTTCTCATGGGAATAAAGTTTGAACTGTAAGCAAAATAGATTTTGATAGATTAAAATTTTGGCTTTCTATTATTATAAATAATATAGTATTAAATGTCAGAGAAAACTACTGGCAATTTGTGGAAGAGAGAATGTGACAAGTGGGTCTGATTTTCTAATTTATTACTCCCTAAACAAACAAGATTGAAGACTATAAATAATTTGCTTTTCCTGAGTAATAAAAATATCATAATGAGTAATTTACTTTAAATTCTGTACTTCTTGGAGGGGTATTAAATAAATTAGAAATGAGGGAAGACTTAGAAAGCAAATGTTACAATGCTCATATTAAGGGAGATTAAGAATTTTTTAAATATTTCCTTATAAAAATAAGAACTTAAAACTTACATAATATTAAACCTTGGTTTATTAACTATGTTTTGATGCCAAGTTTATTCATATAACACGAAAATAAAGTAGCTTAATTTAATTTTGAATGTAATTCTCTGAAAAAGTCATAACATGTGCACTTTGACCTGCCAATGGTGAGGGTTAAAATAAAAACCCATAAAACAAATGTTAACATTTTCATTACCTGGAAATGTATTTGTGATAAATACCTCCACATACAATTTAGCTACTTTCATTACATGTCTTCCAGAGAATTGCATGCCACTAACCTTGAGGCAACTCCCATCCAATTTCACATGACTGAATTGCATTGCTGCATGATGATTTAATCATGTGACAAAACCTCTCCACTAATAGGAGGGCAACATAACTACATGTGCCATAACTCCCCCTATGCACTTGTGGTAACTTCATCCTTTGATAAATCAAGGAGAAAAAGGTGCACCAGAGATGAGGAGGATGGGTGGGAATGTGTGGAGGTATATATTGGAAATACATTTTCAGGTAAAAAAAATTCTAACTTCTGAGATGTTAATTCACCTCCACATACAGTTTAGCTAGAACCCCATGTTGAAGTGGTAGAAGAGTCGGTGCAACTTTTATCTAATTGAGCTCCTTTCAGAAAGTACCTAAAGAAAGCCCATGGAGTGTGATACCCAATGGCACTTACTCCATAAAATCACACCAGCGGGAGGCCACATTTTGTCTGTTCCAGGATATACAATTAACTCGGAAGGTAAGGGAGGAAGAAGCAAATGTTCACCATGTGTCACCTAGATAGGTGGAATGAGAATACAACCATCTGAGTACTTGCACACAAGTGGTCAGATAGCCAATATATGTAGTGTATTCGAAGAGCATTCAGAACATTCCTTGTGTGCTCATCTGAACTTTACCATTAGGCTCTACAGAACAGACTCAAGCTGCAAGAGGATGGCACATTAGTGATGCAGTTTTGTTTTGTGTATTATGTGCTCACCTCAACTCTACTGAATAGTCTCAGGCTGCAGGAGAATGGCACCTGTAAAGAGGGGTGACCTGCACTACACTGACAGTCACCACTGCCACACTTCTCATCGTACTGGTACTTTAGTGAGGATATTCTCTGATCCACCTCCCCAGCAGCTAGGAACTGGCAAGCATCTCCCATTCTCCATTTGATGAAGGGGGAGAATTCACATTGGGGAGACCCGTTAAAAGTACACAAATCTCCACTGGGCCTTCAGCCAGAAAAGTCTTTTACTGGATACAGTGCAATGAGTTACTGTAAAACCCTATTTTTAAAAGCCAGCAAACACGAGCCAGGAAAATTGGAAGAACATGCCTCTAGTGCTAGCTTTTTCCATGAAAGTTAATGGAATAGGTATGGTCTGGATCAGATAATTGAGAGAATATGTACATATTAGAAGAGACCCACAAAACATTTGCAGTCAAATTTGTAAATTTATTGTATTTCTTTAAGTATAGGATTTCCACAATAATAAAAAAGAATTCTAATAGCAAACACCAAAATCTACAAGTTCACTTGTTTTGGGCCTAACATTAGTTATGCCTTTATTGACTATGGCCTATATTTGATAAAAAGATAAATTAATGCAGTAACTTGCATACATTTTTGCTTTATTTCAATTAGGGCTAAACTTTACCATACTTGATACTATCAGTAAATAAGCTAATAATGTTATTCACAACTTAATGTTAGACCTTTTTAAAAACTTTTATAAGTTTTTAATATGTCGTTGCACAAAGTGTCTAATATGGTATATTTATATCTGCCTTTTGTTTACATCTATTGAAATGAAGTGTGTGCACATTTGCATTCAGATAATAAGGTGTATGCATATTTTCAGGACAGATAAAAACTTGGTATTATTATAATAGATTTCCATTAAATCATTAGGTGGTGATCCTCAGCAAAAGTGTCTAAGGCCTTGCACGTACACATTTAGATAGTAAGGTGTGCATGCATTTTCAGGACAGACAAAAACTGTGTATCATTATAATACATATACTATAAGGATACTTAAGTTATCTTGATGAACATCCCATTTCATAGTGGGCACATGTAAAGCAACAGCAGATGGAAAGAGCACTTTCCATTATCCTGGCTCAATGCAAATTTTGAGTAAGTATACCCTGGGAGGCAACACCAGTCACTCGGTAGGATCCTAAAAACTAAAAAGAGAGATATAAAAATAAAAGTGTACTCATCTGTCTAAACATGGTGGGTAGACTAAAAATTGGCAATTGGAGGAAGTCAAAATCCCTCAGGATATGAGAGAGCCAGATGGTAAAGATAGTGAGTGACTCAGTAGTGTGAGGGTAGTCCACATGCCAGCCTAAAGGATCTCATCCATTGGTTGGCAAAAATAATGAGCAGCAACAGAATGAGTAAGGTGAACAAATTTGATGGGAAGAAATTTGGAATAGTCTACAATTGTCCACCTCCAAAGAAAATTATGCCAAATGGAGAAGCTGAAAAGAGGTGAATAACCAGGGAAAGAAAGTAGAAAGATGGTGTATAGCAGGTAAGTCAGGGGGAAAATGGTGGTGTAAAGGACCACAATGAGAGGTGTGCTACTTGTGTTGATACACAAACAAAGTAGAAGAATGAGATAAGAGAAAAGCTACATGATTAGAAAGTCTGACTCAATGAACAATGGACTGGACAAATTCCATAAGTGAAGATGTAGAGACGATATCTCTTGATGAAACAGTGATGTGTGAGACTGAAGCAAGAGAAGATTTGGTTTTAGGCAAATGTGAAGAGGAAACCAAGGTTGTGCTGGCCAAAGAGGTGAAACTGAGAAGACCTACAAGGTGTGTTGTGGATCAAGGCAAGAACCCGAGGTAGTAGATGCAGAGGTGAATAAGCATACAGGAAAAGGTAAGACCAGTCCTGGCTGAGAGCATCGATAGCCAGAGCTGAGGGATGAGGAGAAGAAGACCAAAGGAGAGGAAGCTTGTAGTTGAGACCTAACAGAAAAATGGAAAGTGGAGAGACCAACCATTTTATGGGAAGAATGTTGTCTAGCTGAGAATGAACCCCAAAAAAGATTCAAAATCTGAAATCAAAGGATCCTGGACAGTTGATGTATGAAATTACTGTGGAATTATCAAAATAGATCATTATCTAATGATCTTCTAGAAGGGGCAGGAAATGGGAACATGCCAAATAGACAGAAAGAAGTGTGAGCACATTAATGTGAATAGAACACTCATCCTTTGTGTCCAAATATCAGAGGTGAGGTTGTCATTCAGGGATGCTTCCCAACCTGATAAGGAAGAAGAATCGGTGAGTAGGTGAAGGGCTAGTCTGGGGGGAGGCAAGAAAACTCCAAAGGTAGCATTGGAGTGGTCCAGCCACTAAGACAGAACTTTGGGAAGATGAGGAGGTAGGTGGACTGTTGAGGACAATGGATATCATGAAAGATTCCACTGGTCACACGACATCCACTGAAGAAGGCACATGTGGCATGACCTAAAGGAATGAGCAGTTCCAGGGATGCCATATTTCCCAAAAGAAAGAACCTCTTGGAGAGAATGAGAACAAAAGCTTGATTTTGGTAACCATAGCTCACAGGCAAAGAGGAGAAGGTTGGGAACTGTTAGAGAAGATTGAAGAAAATTCCCAGGTATAGAAGATATTATAAGAAAGAATTTGGAAATTTTGAGGAGCAATCCTAAATGAGCAGCCTCTTGAAGAAGAAAAGTGTGACAGGAAGATTCTTCCTGGAAATGAGCCAGTACAAGCCAAATGTCCATATAAAAATGGAATCATAGACTCAGTCCTTGAAGATGGTGAGCAAAAGCCCTTGTGACATAGTTGAATACTTAGAGGGATGACAGTATGCCAAAACAAAAAGCCCAAAATTAGAAGACAGTTTCCGATAAATGAAGTGTAGAAAATGTCTAGAGGACAGGGCAATAGAAATGTGAGGTAATGCATCTGAAACACTGACTTTGGTCACTCACAGTCTGGATGAAAAAGACCAATGGAGGGAAAAGAAATTTTCCATCCAAAGGTGTGGGATGACCAGAAAGTGACTAAGTAAAGAAAAGTCAATAATTGGATGCCAGTTCCTGGTCTTATTGGGAACCACAAAGAAATGAGTAAAAACCTGGAGGAGGGTCATACACTCTCTTGATTGTGTGTTTGTCCAAAAGATCTGACACTGCCTTCTCGAGACAGTGAAGGTAGACAGGATTAGAGGGAAAAGGAAATGAAATGGTAAGAGAATGGAGTGGGGAGGAGAAGAGAAATGGAGAGACAGCTTGTGGATGAAAACTTGAAGAATCCATCTGTCAGCATAAAATCTTGACTGAAGGTCTGTGACCTGGACATGAGCCCAAAACTGACTTAATGATCACTGGAAAGTCACATAGTGAATTTGATGTTAGCTAGAGGGGACAGGTAAAGGATAAAGGTTGGGAAGTAGGACCTGAAAGGTGAGAGACAGAGGGTCCTAGTTAAAGATAGCAGGTGCACTTGAGAGAGGATGGTATCCCTACCTAATATGTCCCAACAGCAGATAAACCAAGTAAGCATGTAAAGGGCAGAAGAAGTGGTACAGGCTATAGTAGAGAATAGAAGAGAACAGGATTCTCCCAAAAATCATCTGAGCCTTGTTGGAGCATCTCAGTCATAAAGTGCAGGGAGAACAGATAAGGAAGAAGGGTAGTAAGGAAAAGATGAAGATGAGAAAACTGGGCTCTGAAGAGTGAAACCAACAATAAGGAATCTGCTCCCCAAACAGGTAACAAAGATTCCAAAGATTAGGAATCAAGAACTAGGAAATCAGAACCATAAAATAAGAATCGGGCAAATGAGGGGGCAAGGCAGGAGATTACTGGTACATAGTTGGTCTAGAAGTGAATCAGCATAAACACTAATGTCAGGAGGAGGACGAAAAATAAAATAATCATGAAGGTTAGAGTTATGAAGCAAAGAACATGAAGTGTCATAGGACATAGGAGAAAAGAAAGAACAGAAAATACCCAAGATATAAAATCCTGAAAGATTGAGAAAGTTTGAGGGCTCTCCTCAACCAGTAGTGAGGCACCTAAGGCAAATCCAGGAGGAGGAAATAGGTGATCAAATTCTTCAAAGTGAATGGAAGAAAGGAAGTGAAAAGAATGGACAGGAGCTGAAGATCAAGTTTGTGTTATGGATCCCACATGTTGTTCAACAAACGCCACAATGTCATCCTCAGTTACCAAACCTCCTGAAGCCATTGTTGAAACATTTCCGGTGTGAGTAATATCATCACTCACACAAAAATATGTTGAAGTTATATTAACCTCTGTATTTATGATGAACAAAGTATAACAAAACTGAAGTTTTGCTAAAAGTGCAAAAATTAATAAATTGAAGAAGGTGAAATATGTCTGTGTTGTACAGTGCTGAGGAAAAGAATGAAGTTACCATGTGTGCAAGTGCATAGGGGGAGTTATTGCTCATGGATGTCTGTTACCCTCGTATGTATTTATATTAACTCATGTAAACTTAGATGGGAGTTGCCTAAAGGCTAGTGCCATGCATATCTCTCTGGAAAATGTGGGAGGAAGATAGCTAAACTGTGTGAAGTGGTGAGTTATCGTCTCAGAATTTACCATTGTTCATCATCAACATGCCAAAGCTCAGTTTACCATTTTTCAATATCTTACATAACCTAGTTAATACTCTAATGGCAGTACTAAGAAATTCTGAGGAAACTTATATATCTTGTGTCATAAGATCTTAGATAATTGCAGTTTGTTTGCTTGTTTTTGAAGTTAAGCACAAAGCTACACAATGGGCTATCTGTGCTCTGCCCACCATGAGTATCAAAACCTGGTTTCTAGCATTGTAAGTCCGCAGACATACTGCTGTGCCACTGGGGGGCGATTGCAGTTTGATCTTATCATTTTACTATGATTAAATGATGACTCAAATTTTTAGCAGCTGAAAGAAAATATATTGCCCAGAAAAAAAAAATTTCTTTATCAGTAAGTACTGAGTTCTTTTCAAAATCGTTTTCATTAAAATTTCTGGGAGAAAAATTAATTTAAGGCAATACTCTAGCACTGGTTGTTCTATCCAAAATGTCTGATGCCACTTATGATTTACTGTTTTTACAAAACGCTGTCACATTTATGCATGTTTTTGAAGTTAAATACTGAGAGAGAAGCTGAGGTTTTATGACTTCGTTGTTTCAGTATTGTACTGGTACCTACTTATTCCCAGTGTAAAAAAAAAGTAAAATACATTAATGGATTGTTTGTCTATAGATAAAATATTTGGAAATAAAACAATAACACATGTATATATACCAATAAGTAAATGATACTCATTTTAATGTGCTTTTTAATTACATATTTTTTGTCTCAGAAGCTTTAAGCCACTTCATGCAAAATGGATCTTACACCTAATAAAAATAAAGCGTGCTTTGTTTTACAGGGATAAGCAATTGTCTCATTACTCATTACATTCATAACACACAATATAAACACAAATTACTGCACCAACATAAAATTATAAAAACATTCTTACCTAATGAAACTGAAAAAACACTTTTGGAATCCTTTGATATGCATACTGCTGTTACAGCACTAGAAATATGAATAATGTACAATTAATTAAGGCATACTGAAAATATTGAAATAATATCCCAGTTCTCTCAATACTATGCTGGAATGATGGGTTCATACTCATTTTGTAAATTTTAAATTTTTAGAATTTATTTTAAATAGACATTTACCTGTGAAAGTCTAAAACCATTTCCATACTGAGTTTGTTCTCATGCTGTCAATAACCATGTGACATTAGGTCTCATATGTCCTGGACACAGCATGCATCAACTTGCACAAAGTTTTTCATTCTCCCACATGACTTATTGCACATGTATCAGGGGAAGATATATATATATATATATAAGCTCTGCTCTCCCACCATAATCCAGATTTATTAGATTCAGTCTTAATGGAAAACCACATATTTTCCAGTTGTGAAAAGATGGGTGGGAATTTATTTTAGAGGTAAGTACTTGTTTGGAAATAATTACAATTCTAAAAATGTAAAATTCAAACCAGGTTGACTTACCTCTGTTACACTTAAAAACAAAAATGCCCACAGTGAAATAGAGGAGAGAGCAAGAGTGAATCATAAGGACTACTGCTTCACCAAAAATATGGCTCTTAGGCAGAAAGGAATAACCTACATCATGAAAAATTAAAGATGTGATAGAGCAGAGTTTGAGTAGAATCCAAAATTAGGGTAGAAGTCAATGGACTTGAATTCATGGGAAAACTGAGCAGAGTGAACCAGTGTCATAAGAGTCTGGACCAAAATTGAGACACTCAGAAAAAATAGTATTATTCTCAGCAGAGCACTTCATAGCCCTAGACACACCTTAAATTCTATATAAAAGGGTTTTAGGTGGCATATGTTTACATGTGAAGCCATGAAAATTCTCAGGTGTGGTCACAGGTGGTGTAATAGGTATTCAGGGTCAGAGCACATATACCTATAGTTCAAAAGTGTCAGAGGAGCAGACCAGCAATAAGTAATGACTGGGCATGCTCCTGAGACTGTCCTTCTTCAACTACATTGGACAAGAATGGCCAAGTCACAAAACTGGCCCAGTTAGTGGGTACCAAGGAAGAATCAAAATGACTCAAGCAGGCCCAAGGATGTACTTGACAGTACAATAAGAACACCAAATAAGGTTGAAACAATAAAACTAAAGCTGGGTAGAGCTACAAGATATCACATGAAAAAATGTTGAATTATCCCTGACATCTCAAAAGCTATGCAAGAACATGCATGCACAAATGGGAAAGGTACTTGCCAAGGCATCACTACTACCAGATGGCATAACTCTTTCAAGAAGCACAAGTGCAGAGGGTAAAATATTGTTGAGGACGATCCCTGAGGTATACTTATCATGTAAAAGTTCTTATTCAATGAATACATTCAAATGTGAAGTCTCATATTATAAAGGAGATACTGTGAACATTTGTTTCTTTTATTCAAATCACTTCTCATCTTCAGATGCCCTTGCAATTGTTGAAATACATGACCAGCAGTATAGATATACCTGTATTACCATGCATAACATAGGTGTGGACCCAAATGGTAATTAAGCATGTAACAAAGAATAACTCACATGCTAGGAATTCCAACTGCCTGAAGAATCACAACTGGAGGAAAACACAATCCCGAAATTGAAGAGACAGTAATATGATGTAAGTAAAATTCTAACAATTTATTAGGATTTGTTCATATGCTGATATACATAATATTCATTGACTTCACTTTTAACACTGTCAACTTACTTTGGAACTACCTTGAAACCATGACACTACACATAACTCTGAATATACTAAGATTATCTTCACGAAATTTAGCAAGCTTTATGTAAACATTATAAATTTATTGTATACAGAAGATTTGTCTAGAAATTTATGAAGCATTAACAGAGAAAGTCTGAGGGAAAGATGATTTTCATGCTAAGAATAAAAATAATTATTTTTATCTTACTTCATTTGCATAACTTCTAGAACTTCCTAAATGAGTATCAGAATTTTTTTTCAGATAAAATAATTTTCTCTGCTTTTACATTAACTGTAGCACAATCATCCATATAAAGTGAAATGAAAAGTTGAAAATATGAAATAAAATAATATCTTTTTCTCTTCTTCCTTGAATGCATCATTTTCAAATTACTTATCTTCACAGTTAACTGTTAACCTTTTAACATCTGTTTTATTTTAACTTCATAATTTCATTGTCTATATTTTATTTTGGACCATATACCTCCATCAAAAGCAATAACTCAGAGCAAGTCCATTGGCTATTTCCCATAGACTTTCTGTAAACACCATGTGATCCTTAAACTAGCACTGTAACTACGTACAAACTTCAGTGAATATTACACATTTATGTCTCAAAATAATATTTCACATAACTTTAATATATGCATTTTAGAAGACCAAAAACACATCAGTCATTAGAACAGAATGTCCCAAAAGTACTATAATTTATCTGGAATTCTTAGTAAGTTATAAGTAATTCAAAAAAATGGATAAATGTTAGACCAGGATTACAAAGTTCTTCAAGATACTATGGCAGACAATTGTTCTATGACTGTCAAAAATAAGTAGGTGTAATGAGCCATACAAAATTGATCAGCAAAACAATCTCCAAAGCAAAGAGAGAGAAGGGAGGGGCTTCTCTGGTGGGTTTGAAAAATTTATTGATATCTTAGCAAATAAAGCTGTTCAGGAATATTACAGTACACAAGAGAGATCAACTGCACAAACTAATTTGTTAATATAGACAGAGAAAGATCCAAGGAGTATGAGATCCATCATGAGATATCCATAATCTTTGAGGAAAGAGTCAATATGTGTGAGATAACAAAGAATGGCCCTGATAGTACACAAAAAGCATTCTTCCAAACTTGAATCAGGATCACTCAGGGCAAGTAACACAATAGGTGAGAAACAGGGGTTACCTTCTCTCACACCCCCAAGTTTTAGGTAGGAAGGTTTGATGAGAGGAAAGGACCTTCAAAGAAAATAAAGTAAGTGTAACACTCAGGGCATAGATATCAAGGAAACAAGTTGCTAAGGGTTCAAAGGTAAGAAGTCAATAAACGTAAGACTAACTCCAAGTTTCATTCAGGTCAATGCTAAGGAACCTGGGTCACTGAAGACTAGAGGCTCAGAAGAGGTCTTCAAACAATGTGAACTAAAGAGACTGATGGCTTCTTTGTCATCTGTAAGTGACAGATAAGACAGCTCTGAAATCAGTTATGTAAGAAGCTGATAAATCACAATCATAAAACAAATATATAAGAAGGAAAAAAACAATTTGTTGAGGAGATGTAGATAAACAAGATATATTATGTCAAATACAATAACTCCGGAAGATAGCCATAGAGATTGACATACAGGCAGGGAAGAACAATGGCAAGAATGTGCTAACATTTGAACCACCTAGGAAGAGGACCTGCCTTCTTTGACAAACTCCCTAACAATAGCCAGCCATAAATATCAAACATTGTTGTGAAAAATGGGCATTTGTGGTTGTTGTAGATGTGTCCATGGTGGCTATGGAATTGCTTTCCTCTAAAAATGTCAAAATAATAGAAGAAAACTAGACAACTTGGAGTGATAGCACTTTGGAGAAGAGGGTAGGCATAAGGGAAGAGGTTCTCCCAAGATTGATTCAAAATATTCACTGCCAGAAAATTTGATTCTGGAACTTAAGACCAGTAGAGTAAAAGACTATGACTGTCTGACATATAGCCACTGAAAAATAAAAGAGTGGATAAGTGATCAAAGTTAACAACAGCACTTATGGTTGTTCTCTTAACATAGGCAAAATGTCATTTGGAAGATGAATGAGTGGAAAACTCTGGGTAACTTGATGATTGCTCTGCAATGTGTCAAAGACATTCAGAACCTAAAGTCACACAGTTTTTAACAGCACAAGAGCAACTCAACAAGGGAGGAAAGGCTTTCAGTATTTCAGAGTTAAGTCTACCCAATATGAAATTTTATTTCATGACCCATTTTTCTTCACAATTTTGCTGCTTTATATTGGCAAAATATTTTTATAGATCAATCCAATTTATTGGGACATTTTCTTGCAATAGCAAAAATAATATTAAGAGTTCCTTGTTGAATAAATGTAGTAACCAATAACTGGTTTAAATTTAGTAACCTTTTGAATAAATATAGTTTAGTTACTAATAGATGTTTTTCTGTTTTTTTTTTTACAGTCTGCATAGATTTGGTTGCTTTTCTATCTTGCAGCAACTAAGTAACTTAAAAATTGATCACACTAGCTTAATATTATATTTGAATACTCTACATTGGAAGATTTGTTTTTGTGATGGCAGTAACAAGGTTATGAATAAAGCTTTTCTACCAAAAAATAACACGTGCCTTTTCAACCAGTTTTTCTGCCGTTCAGTAATGAACTGACTAATTTTACCACACTGATATAGTTTTAAATTTTAATACTCCTACACAGAATCTTATTCTTGAGTTAATGAAGCTTACAGTTATAGATACTTCCTTTAATAAATATAATTTTTTTGCCAAGAAATCGGTCTAATTTAACTGTATATTATACATTTCATTTTTATTCAACATTACAACAGTTAATTGGTCATAAGCCACACCAAATAAACTCAAATTGTAGTTCATATTTTATTGCTTAACAAAGAAACCTGCATAACTTACTCTTTGTGTAACTTGTGCTCAGCAATCAGTTCTAAAGAAGACATGGATCTGCTCCATTGTTGTCCAATGGTTTGTGTCCTTAGCTTTCTGTGGCTATCTTCACCTTACTCAACAGAATAGAAAATATGTCATTAAACACTGAAAAATAAATATAAAAATTGTAACTTACTTAAACAAAGCAGTTTGTTAATAAAACATCAATTGTTAAAAAATCAATACTCTTAAACAAATAAAATAATGGATATGTAACTAAAGCAGGGATGTTCTATGAAAACAGGAACGAGAGACAGAAAAAGGTTAGCAAGTCTACCTGAGAGAAAACAATAATAAATTAAAAAACCAGAGCACTTGTGGGGGGCCCCAGATGCATCAATGATAATTAGTACTTTAGATCCTGTGGGATTAAAAATTTCATGGAAACAATGATTCCAAAAAGAAAACAAATGCCAAAGGGTAGAAAAAAAACAGATAGTAGTTTTAAAGGACAAGTCAGAGAAACAATTGTAAAACCATAAGAATCTAAGGGAAATTCTAAATGTTCAAATCTGTGATAAGAACAATCAGATAAAAGTTTAATAGATATTGAAACAATTAATATGGATTAAGACAAAAGATAAAAGCACAGGCACACAATACTCATTAGAAATCTGGATACTACACCCAAACCCTACAAATGTCCCAAGACATGCAAGCAAAGAAACCTAAGAAAAAAAAAGTAAGTAAAAAAATCATTAGAATAGTTCCAAGCATGAAACTTTCAGTGAATAAATTTAACGGTGATATGAGACAACCAAATGCTGTAAAATTTAGTGCCTGAGGTTGTCCTTTGGACAACCAAATTATTTCAGACTTCAAAGCTCTACATACTGCCTTGCACAAGCATTTCAGCATTAAATCAGGGAGATGCAACAGAATGCAAGCAAAGCATTTGGACAACCAAACTATTTCAGACTTCAAAGCTGTACATACTGCCTTGCACAAGCATTTCAGCATTAAATCAGGGAGATGCAACAGAATGCAAGCAAAGCAAGAACGTAATTAAGGAAGTGATAATTCCTATCTTATTTTCATGGTTGTCTTCAATGGCTCTGCTGGCTCAGTTCAACTTCCAAACATACACACACACAACGGTTTTCATACTTGTGGTAAATGCTTCCCACCATAAGTCTAGACTCGCACAGAAACTTCCAGAAACACTCTACCTCTAGCTGTACTACAAGAATTAATTCACAGCCTGCCTTCTAAGTTACCTCTAATAGTGTGTGAAAAAAAAACCCAAACATGTACACCCCATGGAAGAATCTTCCACATTAGTAACATCTCTATTCAAAATGCAATGTGCTGTAAGTGATAGTTCAACCAATCCCAAATGAGGATTGCTCTGCTTATTATGTGATAAGTTTTCTTGGGGGAAAGTTGCCAGTTCCATTGGAGGGGTGAAAAAATTATCACCATCTTTCAGTTGAAATACATTGATACGGCTGCTAAGAAGAAATGTCTCAGGTATCGAGACAAAACAAATATGTATACTTTTTGAGTGAACAGAAATTTAAATTTGTTTTGACATGAAATAGCTACTACTGTGGTATATCTATTCATGTTATGGTAGCAACTAATGAAGCCTTGCATTAATCCCTGTCCTACAAGACTTGTATGATAAGAATGGATGCAACAAGCAGACTTTTTCAGAAGTTCAATGTGTACAGGAAAAATAATGTGCCCATATTAATGTATTGCTTCATCAAGTTATTGCATTATTTTTACTGAAGTATTTTTAATGAGTTAGTAGTAGTTATCCTGCTACCACATCCCACCATTTTACTAGAGCTAGTTTGTTTATTGTAATTATTCAAATTGTTAAAACAAAACGGAACACTTATATCATTTTCTTTTTTTCCCATGGAATGTTGATGAGCACTTTTAGTTATTTCCGAGGTGTAGGCCCAAGTTGTTTGAAAGACAAAGTTGTGTTAATGATGTCACAGTGAAATTGCTAGAAAGATCTGCAAATATAAAGTTATGAGTTGCTCAGTTTTTGTTTTCATCTAATATAACCATTATGTGATCATCTTGGCAAACACTGTTAAAACTTGAAATAGGTTTAGGAGGAAAAACTATTAATTATGGATGGACAACTTTTTTATTATGCAGGACAACCAAAGTCTGGTTAATGGTTGTCCTCCAGAACCACAATGTATCATAATCTCAATCTCACTGAACAGAGGCTGTAGACATCTCTACAGACAGTGATGTGAAGGAAAGTGAAACTGGATAAGTTTCAAGGTGTAGAGTGGCTAGGGCATGATAGACCATAGGCTGCAGGTCAACTCCAGTCCAAAATCAAGCAGAATCAGAAATATAACTTCTGATCCATGGTAGGAAGTGGGGTCCTCACTGTCTTCACCTCAAGTTCAGAAGAATGGAAGTATATACTGTGCAAATCGTACCAAGAAATGGATACATGTGCATAATCCACAACTAACCAGACATCCAAATGATGACAATAAGAGATGTGCTCCTGTGGGAGGTCGAATCATTCTCAAACTCATTCCGATAGGCATCCCACTTCGTAACAACAAGCTCAGGCTGTGTGAGTACCAGAGGAAGAACCATCACCTCTTGCAATATTATACACCGCTTTGTGATCTTGATGCAAATTGAGTGAGGAATAGGAAAAACACAGGCAACACATGTGTGAGGACTTATGTTAATCAGTCCTGCTCAAAATCCAAAACCAGTCACCAGGAACCGACATACATATACAACTGCACCATCCGAATAGTCACAGAAGCCGAGCATAACATCAACCCTTGGAGTCCACTGTACAGAGACAGAGCATATTTATTAGTAGACTTGTGCAACATCCTCCCCTCAGACAAGACAGTACAGCATTGGAGGACATTGCAAACTCTGGGTATCATTGTACAGAAGTGGATTGCCCCTATAAATGATATGCAATCTCACCCTCCAGATAGTCACGGAAGCTGGGCACAACATCAACCCTTAGAGCCCATCGTACAGAGATGGAACACATTTAGTATTTTACAGCAGATTCTGCAGGAGAGGCATGGGATGGCATGGCATAATCGGGAGGAGGAACAAGGCTGTCAAAGTTCTCATCATCATGAATAGGTTCAGGAGGAATTTGAGCACTATGTGGAAAAGAAGGTCGACTCAGATAATGTTCAATTTCCCAACAAATTAAGACTGAAAATTCCTCATTCGAGTTTCCCCCTACCTGAAGCCTGTGTAATTGTGCTGATAGCAGGTGGTAGAACTTCCGAAGTCATAATAATCATGTACAAGTGGAAGAAGACAGATTTGGAAAAAGCTACAAGAATAACTCACCTCTCTTGTTTGGTTCCAATTATTCAAACCTCTGGTGGTGGAGTCATGGTTTGGAGCATGAATTCCTGGCATACCATGAGCCAATTTAAAAAGGCAGAACAAATGCTACAGCTTACTTCAGTGTAATTTCTGATTAAATGCATCCATCAATACTTCATGTTTACCCTGACAGGACAGCTAATTTCAAGATGGCAGTGCTTCCATCCAATGTGTTTAAAATATGCATGCATGGTTTTAGGAACATGAGGGAGACTTCAAGCATCTCCAATGGCCACAACAATCCCTGGAACTCAACCCCACAGATGCTCAATTTACCTCTTTACATAAATTGCATTCAATATTAGTGACTGAATGGGGAAAATCCCCTCAGGACACCTTCCAGCAACTTGTGGATCCTATACCATGATATACATTGGCTGTTATTTGAGCAAACTGTGGCCCAAACCTTTATTAGATAGAGTACTTAATAAAGTGGTCAGCCAATTTATATCACCAGTAAAAAGAACATATAGTTATAAAATATGCTCAATGGAAGGGATAGATAATTTCTAAAAATATTGTTACGTCATCGAGGTCACGTGACTGGTGTGA